TTTTTTTGGTTTTTCGAGACAGGGTTTCTCTGTGGTTTTGGAGCCTGTTCTGGAACTAGCTCTTGTAGACCAGGCTGGTCTCGAACTCACAGAGATCCTCCTGCCTCTGCCTCCCAAGTGCTGGGATTAAAGGCGTGCGCCACCACCGCCCGGCTCTCCTGTCTGTTTTTATGCAATACCAGGCTGTTTTCAGTACTGTAGCTCTGTAGTAGAGTTTGAAGTCAGGGATTGTTGATGCCTCCAGATGTTCTTTTACTGTACAGGATTGTTTTAGCTATTCTGGGTTTTCTGCTTTTCCATATGAAGTTGAGTACCATTCTTTCGAGGTCTTTGAAGAATTTTGCTGGGATTTTTGCTGGGCATTGCATTGAATCTGTAGATTGCTTTTGGTAAGATTGCCTGGGTTCTGGTTTTTAAAGAGTGTCCTTTCCTGCCCTTTTCTCCCCTCCATGGAGGAAGCAGTGGACCGAAGCAGCTGAGTGAGCCGTTTAGCTGTTACCCACATTTTGGGGGGTCAGGTGCCACCAGCTTGGTATGGATTTTGCTTGCAGTGCTTACTTTGCACTCAGAGGATGGAGGATCGAGCCTTAGAATCCTTCTCACCAGGACTCCAATAGAAAGCTTTCACTCAGGGGCCTGAATGTTGTTCTGTGAATCCGCCCCTCCCAGCCCAGGGTCCACAGTGCTGAGAGCAGAGAAAGAAAGACGACCTGTAAGAAGTAATGGTAATGAAGCATTCTGTTAGGATCAGGGCACGGTAGCCCAGGCTAGCCTCTAACTCCCAATCCTCCTGCCTCAGCTCCCTGGTTCTGAGATTAGAGATGTGCGCTGCCACACCTGGTTTGTGCTTTGTTTTCTTCATGAAGACAATAAGACAGATGATGTGGAGATCGGTGAAGGTTCTACTTACAAACATCTCCATTCAAAGAATTGTGTGCTTATTGTAGAAATGTTTTAAAACACAAAATAGCACAGAAAAGGGCTCTCTGGAATCACTTACGGGGGGGGGGGGGGCACACATGTGCCACAGCATGTGTGTCAAGATCAGAGGACAGCCTATAGGAGTCGGTGTTCTTCTGCCATGCAGGACCTGGGATTGAAGTCAGGCTTGACAGCAGGTGTCTCTACCTGCCAAGCCATCTCACCAGCCCAGTGGTTCTCTTTGTAACATAAAAAGAGGTAGTAGCGCCGGGCGGTGGTGGCGCACGCCTTTAATCCCAGCACTCGGGAGGCAGAGGCAGGCGGATCTCTGTGAGTTCGAGACCAGCCTGGTCTACAGAGCTAGTTCCAGGACAGGCTCCAAAGCCACAGAGAAACCCTGTCTTGGGGAAAAAAAAAAAAAAAAAAAAAAAAAAAAAAAGAGGTAGTAGCAAGCTCAGCATAGACTCATGGGTCCTCGTGGCCTTCCTCATGGGGAGACTTGCGCCCTGCCTCTAGGTTAGAGTGGGCACTGTAGGGACAACTGAGCTGCCTCAGTCCCTGGCTCTCCTGGCAGGTGGCAGTGGTAAACATGTCAGCTCATCTGAGCAGCCCTGGAGGTCAGCTGTCACCCCTGGTCTGCAGCAGAAAGATATCGGTGGGAGATCCTACTTGCCCCTCACATCTCCCCAGGTGGTGCTAGCACCTAACATAGACCCTTAGTCCGTGGAATGGGTGCCACGTTGCCTGGCTACTTCTGCATGGGCCACATCCAGATCCCAAGGTCCTCGAGTCCGCCTCCTCCTGTTTCCATTTAGTTTGATGACTTGTGTCACCTCAGGCCTAGGATTTACTCTTCCTTACCCTTTCCAGCTCGTAGGGAACACTGCACAGTAAGTCCAAGGCAAGAAGCCTGGGCAGCCTAGACCCTGTCTCGCAGTAAAAAGGAGATAAGAAGGTGGCTTAGTGACAGAGCAGTTGTCTAACACGTACAAGGCTCCAGGTATCCTCCACAGTACCAAAAACAATGAGGAAAATCTCGCCATTCTCTGAGTCTTGTTCTTTCATGACTTCTCTTCCACCTCCTGGGAAGTCCCATGATTCAGCATGCTGCTGCCTGCTCTCACAGGGCTCGCCTTCCCCAGGTGCCAAGCATGTTCTCCATCCCAGGCTCCTCTAGCTTCAGCTCCTACGCCTTGCAAACTGGGCTTGACCACCGTCTCCTCCAAAGAGTCAGAGGCCTAAACAGAGGCCCACCATGGCTCCTTTCTCATGAACACCTGGCTTGTGCCATATCCTCATTGCATTGGGTGTTTTGTTAACTTTGGAAGGACAAGTGTCTGTGTTGGGCCGTCCCACAGCAGGGTAAATCAGCCCCAGGTGTAAAGGAAACCACCTTGCTGGTGGCTTGGGCAGCAGTTGCTTTCTATGAAAGATCTCAGAACGAGACAGGGTAGACTTGGACTGGTAGATTTGGGCTGAAAAGGATGAAGCGGCCAGGGCTCTAGCTAGAAATGGGGGGTGGACAAGCCCTGTGTCTGGGTTGGATGCTCCCATTGTAAAGGACTGCAGTTGGCAGAGAAATTTCGCTGTGCAGATGGCCTCAGGCAAGGGTGGGCCACGCAGACCCAAATCCACCCCCACCCATACTTTGCGCAATGCCCAGGAGATGGAGTGGAGCAGGGCCCCTGATTGTGTGTGACGATGAAGAAAGAACCTTTGTCATCTGGCCTTTTACACACAGCTCTTACTGCCATGGTTTCCCAGGCCTGAACCTCCCTCCAGTGAGCCCTTCCTCCCTCTGGCCATTTCAGTGCGTGCTGTCCACCGGCTCCTGGAACATCGGCACCATGGCATCGACTGGCCGTTCACAGAGTACCCCATCACACAGCTGACCAGTTCCATCATCCGGCGTGTAAATGAGGCTTCTGGGCTGTACCAGATGTTCAGTGTGCTGGCTGACATCATCCTGTTGAAGGAGTGAGTAACCCTTCCCACTCCATCTCCCCGCACCCTGCTTTACCCATATACCGCACCCCTTGCTTCTGGTACTATTCTGTGTGCTGAGTGGCCCAGTTGTTTCTCGTGCAAGGGAGGCCTGCAGAGGCTAAATCTATCCTGGCAGGGAAATCAGGGAGGTAAATACCACAAGGTCTGTTATGGATTTCTTACTGTGTGGTTTGAGGAGGTAGTTGAGCTCTGTGCTTTCCTGCCTTATCTGCAAAATGAGCGGAGTTCCTTTGCAGCACTGAAGGATGAAGGTGAGAGTCCCCTCAGGCACGGGCCAGGTTGCCCTTTTAGATCAAGAGATTACTGGCAAATCACAGAACACACAGAGCCTGAGGACCCGTACAGTCCGTGTGAGGAGAGGACAAGGGAGGACTTAGAGAAGACAGGCAGGTGAGACGTGGAGGAGGACCCCTGAGTCAGAGGACGTGCCCTGATCCAAAGCCCTGGCCATTCAACGTGAAGTTCAGGAGCACAGGAAGTCCAGAAGCTCAGCACACCGCCTTGCTTCATCCTCAGCGTCCCGTCCATGAGTCCAGAGCTGTCTAGATCAGGGTGCTCCTGGCAGGACCCAGTGCTCAGTCAGTATCCCAGGCCTGTCACCCACTCTGGTCCAGCAGCCTCCCAACACAGCCAGTCTGCCCTCACTGCAGCCACCAGCCCTCCTTTAAAAGGACAGTCACACTGTTATCCTTGAGTGCCAACTCCCCACAGCCCCCTTTCTCCACCCACTTAAACACATGATCACCCCACACCTCCTTTACTCATGCCCTGGGACCCCCCAAGCCCCATTACTCTCGTCTTTACCTACAGTGGCAAGCTTCTCCCCACTTCCCTCATCTAGAACTTCCCCAAGTGCACCAGAAGGCACAGCTGCCATGGTGATATTATAGGGTGGGAGCTTCCTGCTTGGTCTACACCACGCACCTGTGGAGAGCTCTATGTCCCCACCCACACCCAGTGAGCCCGCACCCCTCCCTGGGCCTGAGTTCCCCTGGGATTCCACCCACAGGAACGCTACAGCATTTGAGTACCTGGAAGAGTTTCCCATGCAGATGCTGGCCCAGCTGGAGTCGCTCACAGGGAGGACAGCACGCCATGGGCTCTTCATCATCAACATGGAATATGGCAAAAATTTCTCTGGGCCTGAGAAGGACGTCTTCTATTACGACCGGTCCGTAGCACATATAGAAGATGCCTGGCGTTCTAACTTCCTGCACCCTGTCATCTACTATTACAGACACCTTCCCACTGGTGAGCTGACCTCTACCCTCCCTGAGCTCAGCCTCCTCGTGGGGAGTCCCTCTCGGACCACCTCTGTCTAGACAGCAGTCACCACAAGGCCACGCACTGCTTCTGCAGCTGACAGAGGGAACCCCAAGGGGACCTACATAAGCCATGCATGATCTCTGGGCACTATGTAGTGACAGGGGTGCTGTCATGTGGTATCTCAAAGTGGGGGGAGGTGCTGCAGCTGAGTATTAAGAAGAAAGGATGAGGGCTGGAGAGATGGCTCAGAGGTTAAGAGCATTGCCTGCTCTTCCAAAGGTCCTGAGTTCAATTCCCAGCAACCACATGGTGGCTCACAACCATCTGTAATGGGGTCTAGTGCCCTCTTCTGGCCAGCAGGCATACACACAGACAGAATATTGTATACTAAATAAATAAATAAATA